GTGGAGGAGCTATAAGCAGATATGATGAGTGTAAAGACACAATTTAACGAACATCTTATGTTTATTCTTTTTTTTCAGCTAGAATGAATAAACTATATAACAATCAGTACCTTTGATGTTAATAGACACTGATGCATTGTTTCCTTTTCTAATAGTATTTGCCGATTCGCATGTATATTTATAAACGCCTACTTGTGGAACATTMAACTGATAGACTCCAGACATGCTGGTATGYACAAGCTGATCATTCAAGTAGAAGCGATATTCATKTGCTGGTGGTTGCGCATTTGMTGTACATTCAAGAGTCACCGAGTKGTTGATGCAGGCGGTGCTCACACTGCTGGTAAGGTTTGTCTGATAGGGTGTGTCTAAAAACGAAAATGAAAATTKTATATACATCGAGCTAATTATCAGTRATTATATATCACTGAATATATATATCACCCRCATATGAAGGTGCCAGAAAAGCTGTTGCTCTTTTTAGTGGAATGGGACAATCTTAATAGGTGRCGCAACCTTTCAGAAACGTAATATAATGTTATCTGCTTTCCTACTTTTGACTGTAATTTATCAATTAGTTTATTGGTTCGTTATATGTGTAGGAAAAGCGATGACAAAATCCTCATACTTTCAGAGCAAATGATTATAATACTGTGCCGCATATCATTTTCGTCGCATTCATGGCCATAATGTAATAGTAATGCACAGGAACTCATAGTAGTGGCTTAGGTTATCATGTCTACGAATTTTTATAAATTTGCATAGGTCAAATAKTTGTTTAGTGTAGATAGCTTCCTTTAACCACTGAACATAAACTCTAAATTCAAATAGAGACCAACAAAGTGTAAACTTACAGATGACGTTAACATGAACGGCTTCTTTTATTGCACTTCCTACCCCATTATTGACTTCACATTGGTAGAAACCTGTGTTTTGCTTTGTTAATCTGTCAAAATGATAAACAAGAACATTTCGAATTCCTTTGTTCGTTGCTAGAGCATTTGAGTTCCCTACTTTTGTCCATGTGATATTAGGAGTTGGACACCCAGTCGCAGTACAGTTCAGGAATAGCACATCTCCCTCTTCAGCGGTCAAACTTTTGTTTCGTGCAATTTGCAAAGTAGGAAGAACTAGAACGAGAGCAAGAAAAGCATTTCATCAATTGCGTTTTATTTAAAAATCAGTAAAGCTTTCCAYAATGCTATCATAATCTTATAGAAAGAAAAGGCCCTTTTAAAGTGAGAACTATGTAAAACAAAATTCAATTCAATATAAATAACACTTATAAAAGGACCTACACCCTTCTATAAACCAAATGGATTGTATGTATAAACTCAGGCGAAAGATTTATTTGCCAATGGAAATGCAAGAAATATCCATTATATTGCCAATGGTGAGGGTATAATA